TAATCCCAAAATGCTCAAAGATAGTCAAAACATGGTCCCCAGTCTATTTTTTGACTGGTTCTGAATATTCCTCCTGTAGAGGGACAGGCCCGACTTGAGCGTTGCGTGACTCGCCGTCGCTCGGACGTCCCTTTCCCGTGCATTTCTAGGTTCCGCGCGTGCTGCTGTTGGCTCGATGTGATGATCCAGGGTGCTCATCGAGGGTCCTATAGCCGAGAGAACAGGCACAAGTCCGAGCGATGCCAAGGTAAGGGGGGTGGCGGCAAGTGGAGGGGCACCGAGGGCTGCAGAAAAGGAGTACTTCGGGGCCCCCGACGGGCCCTTCAGGAGGTCCCCAAAGGGGGCCTTGAAGGCCCGAAGAGTGCGCCTCTCTTCCCCACCTCCCCATTGATCGCCCCCCCTGAAAAGACGCCCGAATGTCCGTATCCGCGCTCTCGCGGTCTGGAGTCCAGGGCGCAATCCTGCGGATACACGGTCGCACGGATACGCACTCCGTGCGGGGCATGCACAAAACAACGCCCCGTATCCGCAAGGTCGCAGTCAAAGGGCCTGGCCCGCGAGGCCGTGGACACGGATACGTTTTTTGCTCACAACTCAGAGGGCGCCGGCCTACCCGCTTTGGTACCGAGCCACGGCCAGCCCCGGGTAACCATGAAGACCTCTCGGGTCCACGTTGTGAGCAAATCGTGACGTCGGGGGCTTGGCCTGTCGGCTACACACAAGAGTGACCATGGGTAGAGAGTAGCTCATGGTGCGCGGCTTCAGGGGCGGCAAGCGGAAAGGCCACCCTTGCGCGTGGCCGATCCTGGGCCCAGGGGCCAACGGCTGCGGGTCGACTCCCTGACGCGCTGGCGCGGACGCTGGTCTCTGATGCCACGCTGGCCGCTCAATCTTAAACGACCTCCACTATCCGACGGCGGAGATCGCCCCCAGTTTTGCCTGGTTCGGAACTCCAACGGCCTTCAACCTCGAGCGCCCGTGCTGGCGTTACAGCGGCGCCGGCGTAGCGCGAACCTGCCATGCGCCCCACCGTTGGCCGGGCCAGAATGGTGCGTGCGGTCGGCAACTTTCGCTTAGCGTGTCGCGGCGGCGCCCCTTGCAAAAAGGCTATGCCATGACACCAGATACACACATGTCTATCTTTCTGTGTATGTGTATACCTATATATATATATATATATATATATATGTGTATCTCTCTCTCTCTCTCTCGCAGCGTGTCGCTCCGCTCCACGGTGCGGAAGGCTGAGAGGAGCTCGAGATGCTGACGCCCGGGGATCAGCACGTGGTATCAGCGCGTCGCGCCGAACCCTGGCGGGCCAGAGCCAGCGCCGCGGCACGCCGCGGAACAAACGTTTTTGACCGCACATGCCGGTCCCAGGCCCCAGGTCGGCCTGAACAGGGCCGAGTCACATGGGTGGCCGGCGCTCCCAAGCATAAGGCATTGCACTTCAGTGTCTGGCTCTTGATTTGGGTGGCTGGAAAATGGCCCGTCGAGCTTCGCCTCGATGCTGATGATGATGGTGATGATGAGGATTATGATGATGATGGTGATGATGATGATGATCATGATGATGATGGTGATGATGATGATGGTGGTGATGGTGGTGATGATAATAATGAGTATAATGATGATGTTGTTGATGATCGTGATGATGAAGAAGATGATGGTGATGATGATGATGGTGGTAGTGGTGATGGCAATCATCGTTGTGATGATGCTGATGACGATGATGATGATGATGACGATGATGATTATGGTGATGCTGATCGCAGATTGCAACTCATGCAGTGGGACAAGTGTGTTGCTTTAGATTAGGGAGGAAGCGGGGGAGGTGCACACAATGCCCACAGTGGCAAACGCCAAGCCCCTGACCCTGCTGCCGAGCCTCACGGCAACAATTCAGCGCTATCGGCAACGGGGCCACCCAGCCGTGAGGGGCAGCGGCCGATTTGTGCTGCAAACTTTATGCCAACCGCGCGTTGGGGGGGGGGTCGGGGGGAAGGGCCAGCGAGTAACGATTGTTAATCAGCCTGGGGTTACCCTCGACAGAGGGTGGCGGTTCGGAGGAGGTGGAATCTGGAGGTTAATGTGTTCTATGGTTGTCAAGGTTGTGTTGTCCTGTTGCATGGTCGAGGGCTGCCTTGGCCCAAGTCTGAGAACTGATCGTGAAGTGTCAATCTCTGTTCCCAGCGGGTTGCCTTGACCCCCTCTTTGGTGATAGCGTCAAACAAATGTGTCTTACCTGTCGCAGCGCGTCTGAACCCCCCAGTTTGGTCACAGCTTACATTCCCAAGGGTTTGTTTGTGTGTGCCTTCCGCCAGCATGCTCATTTCCAACATCTGAAGCTCTTCCCCCGTTGTCTGCTCACCGAACGAGGTGCATGCGTGTGCTTGTGCGTCATGAGTTTGGCCAGAGAAGGCGGCAAGAAAGCGAACGAACTGAACCAACAAATAACACAACTGTTTTTCGAAACCATCAAACTTGGAAATGTATCAACGTGGTGCGTCGTCGCGATTCGTTCACACAATGACGATGGATGGTGGCAGTCTCCGGGCATCAGAGGATGAATTTGCTGGGTGGCTGAAGGATGAATCTCCAAGTGTCCGAATACGGAGATATAGATGCAGATCAGGTGGAACTGAAGAGGGAGTCTCAAAGGCAAGCGCGTGGTATCTTAATTCTGGTCCAAATGCTTCAACAAAACAACCTCCGTGTTCTATCACGTGCAAGCAACTGGCTGCTGACACGGGCAATGACATTTAGATGTGTGACTGCAGACGGGCCACTGCGAGCGTTGTCTCGCCATCATGAAGGTAATGATAATTCATGTTGGGACATGTGAGAAGTGCTGCGCGATGTGCTGTGTTGCTTACGCCGCTTGCGTGGTTGTGGAAACTTGAGCGGAAGGACCAAGTTCTTCATAATGTGTTCCCTGTACTGTTTCAGACTGCCCGTCGCATCAAAATGATCGAAGGGCTGACCACTACGGGGTCCATTGCGTTGCGCAATGCCACATAATCTCAACGGGGATCCATCAGATCGGCCCTCGGTGCCATCACATAGCTTGGACAACCAACAATGTTGCAACAGATCGGTCAAGGCCCGGCCCAAGTCTTGAAGCCCTATTACAGCACAGCAGGCTCGAGTGCACAAGTCAATGGCGGCAAACGTGCCACTGTACTTGCTCTCACGTTGGCTGGCGGCCTTGCACTCCAAGTGGTTCTTGACTGCGTGGGCACCTTGAGATTGGAGAATTCCCCCTAGACGGACGACGCGTGGAGCAACATAACATTTTGCCTGGTTGCACGCCACGTCTGGGTAGCAATGAAATTTGGTCAAAGCGTTTGGAAGTGAGCGAGGGCAACATTCGCTTGATAATGCAGTGGCAGAGTAACATGCGGAAACATAAACTTCCTCCGGTGAGGCGTAAGCTCGATCAGAACACCTCGGAAGAAGCCCTCACTTGTGCGCAACGGCGTGTAGCTCGCATTCCAGTGTGTTTGCGAAGATGGAGGAGCTGTTCGCCAAGCCTTTTTCAGGGCCAGGACTCTAACGTGATGGATGCTTTGCGAAGCTTTTGCATACCAGGCCAACGATGGCTGTGCATCAGATGATCCCGCCGCTCGCAGAGTTGGTTGCTGCCCGCTCGCGGAATAGTGGCATGTCGTTGGCCGGCCAGTCCAAGACAAAGGTGATCCAACCAGACATTGAAACGACAGGATATGCTGCGTTTCAAAAGAAAGCGTGGCTGATTTGGAGGCCTGCACTGTGCACGAGCGGGAGACTGGGACATCTGGAAAGAGATAAGGTGATCATGCAGAGCAAACGATGACGTAATAGAGGGAACATGCTGACAGAGATGGGATGATGAATTGAGGGGCGGGGAGGATGGGGGTCCTGGCAGCGCCTCCAATCCCAGGACCCATGGGAGGATGGGGAGAATGGGGGATGAGATGGGATAGTTGAAATGATGATGGGACGATGGGAAGACGAGGGGTCCCAGCAACGCCTCCCAAGACCAATGCTGCCTGGATTGCAACGCGAGAAAGAACCTGACACTAGCGTCGCTTCGGTGCTGCAAATGGCGTGGCGCAAGCTGAGAATGAGACATCCCTCGGCCCTCTTCTCCCCAAATGGGCCTCCACTCCGTTCCGCCTCCTCATCACCCCCCCGCGGCACCACCCGTCTGCCGTCGCCCCCGCCGCGCTCTGCCTGCCCCAGGAAGGGGAGGGGGGGGGGCGGGGGGGCAGAGGGCCAGCGTGAGCCCAGGCGCATCAGCGACGCCGCAATGCCCTCCCCCCCCCCCCCCCCCCCAATCAAGTTCCCTCGTCGCAGCTCCTTCCCTCCTGGCCTTCCCCTCCCGACTTTCCCCGCTCGCCTCTCTCTCTTTTCCTCGCCCGCCACCCCCCCCCCGCGCGCGCTCCCGTTCGCCCGCTACCATTTCTCCCCTTGTTGCCCCTCCTCTCTTTGTTCCTTCTGTCCGCTCCTGGCCCCGCAATCCCGCTTGCCTCCATCCCGTCTCTCCCCCCGCCCCGAGGTCATCGCCATCTGCGAGGCGGATGCGAACGACCTTGCCTGATTATTGAAGACGCTGCAGCGGCATGCATCGCGACTTGGTTTTGTCGGTTTCGAATGCCCTGGTGTGCTGCGCACTAAGCAGACACATGTCAGCGCGGGATTCCCAGGGGGGATGTTACAGGGAGACGGCGAGAACTTGGCGCCGACATGATGCCCTGCAGACGTTGAAACAAGGTGAGGGTTACCGGAATGAATACGTTATCGAGTCAAACTTGGCAGATGCAAATATCAATATCGATCGCTTGACTTCGACGTTCGCCAAAGACGAAGACGCCCGCGAAATGCGGCAAGTGCTTTGCATTGGCCAGGATGGCCTTCCCATGCGCGCGACGTTGAAATATTCAGCAAAGAAAAAGCCGGTGATTATCACAAGATCTGCTTGCGCGGGACCATGCCAGTCAATCATGACATCAGAGGAGACGAAGTCATTATTGATGCGTCGGAAGTAACCTTGCCTGGTACGACAAATAATGCACGACGCATTATGCAGCGCACGCCGTGAACCAAATTGCTATAGCGCATGCTGGTGAAATTGGTGCAGATGATGATGGTGATGAAGGCCACGTCGTGGCATGTGTGCAAATAAGGAAGCACTGACGATGCACTGACCATGTTTGCTGATACGAAAGGAAAAATGAAGACGGTGATGACGAGGGGAAGGGTCATTCTCCAGCCACTCAAGTCTAGAGTCCGACACCTGCGAGCCCAACCCCCCGACGTCATGATTTGTTCGTTACGCGACCCCCAGCGGTCCGGACCTATTCGCCGGGACTGGTCTTTCATCCCGAGTCGTCTTTTGACGGCCCCGAGAGCCGGCAAGGGCCCCCAGAGGCGGAAAACATAGAAACACCGCCCGTCGCGATTTTTTCACGACGCGAGGGGGTCTGGGTCTAGAGTCCGACACTAGAGGCCTCCTCGATGGGGTCGGAGTAGATGGGGTCGGAGGATCGCGCCGCATCGCCGATGCATCGGCGATGCATCGGCGATGTATCGGCGACGCACCGGCAATGCGTCGGCGACGTCGGCGATGCATCGGCGACGTCCGCGTGGGGAAATACGAGCTCCGCATCGAGTCGCATCGCCGATGCATCGGCGATGCGGCGGGATCCTCCGACCCCATCTGCTCCGACCCCATCTAGGAGGCCTAGATACGTGTGCTTCCCCCGGCGGCGCCGCGCGCGGTGGAGAGCAGCACCGGGCGGCACTTCGCGGAGCCGCACGTGGCCCGCAGCGCGTCCCGCAGCCGGCGGCCGCACGCCGCGAGGGCCAGCACGTCCGCGTCTGGCAGCCACTCCAGGCAGCACCAGACGTGTTAGATGCTCGGTTGGGGGACCCAGACTCGCAGGCGATTTCTCTCCCCCAATCCCCGACTTCCGCCAGAAAAGTTTGGTCGCTCAGAAAAGGGGAGGAATCTTGGGATACATCCCGAGGGGGCTATTCGGACGCACTGTCGAGGATGGACGCCCCCCCCTCGTATATCCCAGGGTTGGGCCCCAAATTGTTGATCCTCTCGAAAACCTCACGGAGCCTGGGATAGGGGTCGACGCATCCCCTGTTACAGACCCCCTCGAGTCCATGAAAAAATCTCGATGGGAGAATTTTCGCGATTTTCGGCCCCTGGGGGCCCTCACCAGGCCTCGGGACCGTCAAGAAACGGCTCGGGATGAGAAGCCGGTCCCAGGGGATGGGTCCGGACCTCTGGGGGTCGCGTCATGAGAAAATCATGACGTCCGGGGTCTGGGGATTCCCCTGGGGCCCACCTGACGGATCTGTTTGTCTCGGCTTTCGACTCTCGCTCAACCCTGGCTCGACTCTGCTTCGGCTCAAGCCGATGGGCGTCCGGCGAAGCATCGACGCATCAGTGGAGCGGATGGCTCCAGGAAGGTCCCCAGAACGAGCATCTAAAGATGTGCTCGTCCATGGCGCCTGGGGGTCGGGGCCCGGTTGGCCTCGCCCCAGCATGGCGGGGGCGGGCGTGGGAGCGGCTGGGCTCGAGCGAGCGTGTCTGCGGAGGGCGAGGACCAGAGGAAGTGGAGAAGAGAGAAGGTTAGGTCGGGCCTGTCCCCCTACAGGGGTTCATGGACGAACAATGAAAAATAGTCCAACAATATACGGCAAATTCTTAGAAATAGTCAAACACCGTCTCCAGATACTTTTTTGCTGTGTTGGAATATTCCTCCTGTAGAGGGACATGCCCGACTTAAAGACAAGGTGCTCAGCGTCTGGTTGATCTCTGGACCGATCACACCACTCGATCACGTGATCTGCTCGCAACAAAGGCCACGATGGCCAGCTCGCCTGTCACGGATCGACCACGCACTCAGGCTCGTGCGATCGCGCGATCAAGCCGAACCGATCACGTGAGCGGTGATCAAATGATCCCCCGATCGCTGGGTTAGGAGGCAACTGCTGGGCAACCCTCGAAAAGAGCGATTGGATACTTAGTTCCAATCTGGTCAAAGGTTACTGAGCAGGATGGGCCAAGACGAAGCCCAGAATTAAGCAGGACTAAGCAGGATTGGGCCAAATTAGACAGCATTAAGCCAGAAGTTGCCCGATTAGGCGGGTCTTCGACAGCAGATATATGCCAACGCCGATGCAGAATTCAGTCTCCCAGGGGTTGCAACCGAGAGAAGGTCGAGAAGGGGGGGTGGAGATTGATAGAGGGGGGTAGGGGGTGTGCGAGTGAGGGGAGGACGGAGGGGAGGCACGGGGAGGAGGGAGGAAAGGATGAGGGAGAGAGAAGCGGGCAGGGGGGGGGAGGAGGAAAGAGGAAGACGGGGCGACGCGGACGTGAGTGTGGAGTGGAGGGAGGATGAGGATGAGGATGGGGATGGGGATGGGGATGTAGATGAGGAGGAGGAGGAGGAGGAGGAAAAGGATGATGAGGAGGAGGAGGAGCTCAACCAAACCGCACCCCATTCTGGGCCTGGCACGCTCTCGCGGGACTCCTGCTGCTTCTACATCCTGTTTCTCACCCTCTACTCACCATACTTTCCATCCCTCCCTCCCTCCCTTCCTCCCCTCCTCCCTCCCTCAATCTCCTTCCTCCGTATCCTCCCTCCATCCCTTCTCCCTTTTCCCTCCCTCCTCCCTCCTCCTTCTGATCCTCCTCCCGCTGCCCGCTGCTCGTTCCACCTCTTCCGCCCTCCTCAACCCCTTCCTCCTCTCCCTCTGGCGCCGGCTCCAGCTCCTCCTCCTTGTGCGACGGCCAGGCTCCGAGCGTCAAAGCTCGCAGCATTATGATGTCATGCACGTCGAACAAAAGACGTTCAGGCGCTGTGGTCGACGGAACGAGAACATAACTCGGCGGCGAGCGGGGGGGGGACGTGAGAAGGAGAAGGCCTTCTCAGAAGGCGGGTGGACTTCTCAGAAGCGCTCCGGCCTTCTGAGAAGTTTTTGATGTATTCGGGGAAGCTCAGGGAACTTCTCAGAAAGCCCGGGGACTTCCGAGCCTTCTGAGAAGGCCTTCTCCTTCACACTTCCCCCGGGCTCGCCGCCAAATGCCATAGAACAGAGATCCGCGAGGGCCTGGAATGGAGCATGCTCCCACCGAGGCCCCCTTCTCCTCCTCTTCGCCCTCCATCCTCCCACCACGTCCCCAAACATCGCCGTTGTCGTCCTCCCCCCCCCGTCGTCCGTCCCAATCGGCGTCGTCGTCGTCGTCGTCCTTCCCCTCGTCCTCCTCCCACAGAGGGCAGCGCAGAGGACGAGCAGCAGCAGCAGCAGCAGGTGGTGGGTGAGGACGAGGAGGTGGCCAGGGTACGACACACGACTGGCAGAGTCGCCGTATCCGGCCATCGCTGTCTCCAGCTCCCGCGCCACGGTCTCTCCCAGGTTGCTGACCACTAGGAAGGAGGCCACTGTGTCGGCGTCTCCGCTCAGAACCTTCTGGGGGCGGACAGAGGTCGATCACACCCTGCTCGCCTCCTCACTCCCCGAAAGATGTGCCAAAGGCTGACGGCCCAGAGCGTCTGGGCGGGGTACGTGGGCCCCCTGCTCGCACGTGCGTTTCCTTCCCCGCTCCTCCCCATCCCACCTCCATCCGCCAAAGGCGTCGCTGTGGCCGTCGCGTGACAAGTTACGATCGCCCTTCATCCATCCATCGGCCATCGTCACGCATGCCTCCCCATCTTGACCCCGCCCTCCTTTCCCCTCCCCGCTCCCTCCCTTCTTCCCCATCTCTCTCCACCTCCTCATTTACATCAGAATCATCATCTTGATCGTGCGCCAGCGCTACTCTGACTGCATGGTTTCCCCCGGCGCCGTAGGCGACCCGAAGAGGAGGAGGAGGTGGAGGAGGTGGAGGAGGGGTAGGGGGAGGAGGAGAAGGAGGAGAGGAAGGAGGAGGAGGAGAGGAAGGAGGAGGAGGAGGAAGAGGAGGAGGAGGACGGGTCGCCCAAGCCATTCGGAGAAACCTTCCAACTCTGACTGGACCTGTGCGACTTCCTCTTCCCAGTCTGCATGCAGCGCCAGGCTTCTTTCCCTGAAGGGCTTGCCTACAAGTGTCCCATACACTTTGGTTCAGAAGACGGGCGTGAACCCTTCCGGATCCCGACTCGGTGAGTCGTGTTCATTTTATTCACAATCTCCCGCATGGTCTCCCATGTAATCCCCCGCTTGATCACCCGTGTATAATCTCCCTCATGGTCTCCCGCGTGATCTTCCGCAGGGCCTCCCGTATGACCTGCCACATGGTCCCCCAACGTAGTCTCGCGCATGATCTCCCGCCTGCACTTCCGCATAATGTCCCGCCCGGTCTCCCGGTATGGTCTCCCTTCTGCTCTTTCTTCCGCATGGTATCCCGCATGGTCTCCCGTATGGTCTCCACACTGTCTCCCGCATGGCTTCCCGTATGGTATCCCGTACGGTCTCCCGTGTGACCTCCAGTCTGATCTCCCATCTGTGCTCCCGTATGGTTTCCCGCATGGCCTCCCGTATGATATCCAGAAGGGACTGCCGTGTGGTGTCCCATATGGTCTGTCTTACGGTTTTCATCATGGTATCCCGCATGGTCTCCCGTATGGCATCTCTCATGCTCTCCCGTAAGATATGTATTATGCCCTCCCTTTAGCTCTGTACTTCTCTTCGCTCTGGTGAACTATGGGAACCCTCTAGGGGACCCAGTGTATGTTCCCTCGCTCGGAGCATTGTAGTTTTCTATGGTGCTCTGTGGGAGCTGCGTACGGTATTATGCTGCCAACTGTGTATGGTTTGGTCGTGTGTGGAGTAGTGTGGAGGGGGTATCGGGGAGTGTCAATATCGCTTCCAGCATTGTGCGAACAGGATGGGCCTTCCATTGACCAAATCATGCGCCTCAATCAGCAAAAGGTAGTCCAGTACCAGACTGGATGACCGGCAACACGTTCTCCTCCTCTGGGCGTCTACGGCTTGACCTGATACCTCACTGGCGACGTCGCGAGTTACTGTCTCTTTGGCAATGCGTCTCGAAACACAAACCGCTTCACGACTTCACGAATGGGGTCCTGGAGAACCATCGTGATGTTGTAGAAACCTGGAGGGTTCCATTGTGTAGGCTTCCCTGCGCAATTTATCCTAGCATATAGGTATCATCGCACTGCCATAACATATAACTCGCACACACAAGCCTAGCCTAAAACTTCTAGAATTTGGTGAAGAAGCGTAGCGCAGCGTTGCATTCCTAGACCTTTAAGTATAATATAAACTTTCATCGTGCATCCGACCGGACGCAAGCATCGCCAGCATTCCACTACACACCGTCGCCCGTAGCATAACATCGACCTTGCATAGACCCGATGCTAAAGTAACACACCAATCGCATAGTGTGGGGAAAGTATGACGCAATCCGCCACAGCGCTGGCAACGAGTGGTGTCGGGCACAAGTTTCTCTGTTGACGACCCATGTGAAGCAGCAAACATAGCCCCCAACGCATCGAGGCCAACGTGCGCTCTGTTTCTGACATAGTCCTGCGTTGTTGAAGCCTCCGCGCAACATAAACAAATAACGCCAAATTCAAAGTCGCGGGCGGGGCGTTCCATGGCACTCACTCCCCTCGTACAACATAACAGGGGACGTGTCGACCCCTATCCCAGGCTTCCCGTTGTTTTCGATTGGACCATCCTCGACTGTGGTGCGTCCGAATAACCTCCCTGGGGTGTATGTCAAGCGTTCCCTCCTTTTCTGAGCGGCTTCGTTCTTCGTCGAAGAGTCGGGGATTGGGGGCGAAAGAGCGCGTGCGACAACACACCACCGACAACGCAACCCAGCGGCATTTGGGAGCCTTGCGCAGCACGGGACGACACGGCACAGCACAGCTGGACAACCGCCGGGGGCAAGCGGTGGAACCCTTCGGTCAGGCATGCTCTCCTACAGGCGGAAAATAGAAGAATGCCCCGAAATAGTCAAAACGACAAATCGTCCCTTGACAACTTTTTGACCGGATCTGTGCTCCTCCCGTGGAGGGACATGCCCGACTGACTGGAACCCCCGAGGAGCACACACACCCCAAGAGCCCGGGCGGCCGGGGGCACAGAGCGCCAGAGCGACGGGGCCCCTCCCGCAAGAGAAGCAGGGAAGGGCCCCAGTGAAGAATCACGGCGTGAGGTTTTTCGCTATTGTTTCTGCCTCTGAAGGCCCTTCCTGGGCCTCGGGGCCGTCAAAAAACGAGTCGGGATGAAGAGCCGGTCCCGGGGAAAGGGTCCGGACCTCTGGGGGTCGCGTCAAGGAAAAACTATGACATCGGGGGTCTGGAGCACCAGCTGGGCAAGCCTGACAGGGAAGAGGAAGCCGACAAGAGCCCAAGAATCGGCGGCCAGCCCTGGGGGGAAGCGAGAGAGAGAGCGGGCCTTCTCGGAAGGCTTGGCGGTTCCCAGGCCTTCTGGGAAGTGCTCCGAGCCTTCCCCGAAGACGCAGCAAACTCCTCGGAATGCTGGAGGGCTTCTGAGAAGCCATCCGTCTTCTGAGAGGGCATTTTCCTTATTACTCCCCCCTCCCTGGAATCCTATCGCTGCAACTTTTTCACAAGAAGTCGTTGTCGCTCATTGTCGGGCCCTGGGGCCCTCACACATCGATCCGGCTCGAAACATGACGCAGCAAAAATTGGATCCAGGGTTCTGGTCGCGATGTGTTGCGATGTTTTGTCTCTCGGCGCTGCATGCCTCGCCTCGCAAACGTCCAGTGCGGCAGTTCGGAGCTTCTGCTATCCTCCCCCTCTTGCGCCCTGCCCCATGTGCCAAGCAGACACTGGGAGCTCAGGAACCCGCACAACGAAGTCGACTATCACGCTGCCCGAAGAGAGTGTCAGGTCGACGTCATCGGCCACGACGCCACCTCCAACGTCCTGCACGACTCCACTCGTCACAGCGCCCTCGAAATCCGCCTTGAGATCCGCGTCGTTCACAAGGTCTGGGGGGTGGGGATTCTGAAGGTGAGCGCTCAGTGTAAAGCAAGAATGTGTCAAAGCCGCAGTGTCAACGTGATGAACGTCAGTCGTACCCGAATCAAGCAACAATAGCGTTCGTACGGTAAACATCGTGGTAGTGGGGAAGAGGTAGAAGCCTTATGAATATTTGTCGGGTCGTCAAAGTAGTAAGAGTAGTAGTGGAAAAAATAAAACGATTGATGACAGTAGCAATAGCGGAACTACTAGTGGTTGCAAGAGTAGCTACAGTAGTGGTAGTCGTTGTAGCGTCAGTAGTGGTAGTCGTAGTAGCAGTAGTAGTAGTAGTAGCTAGTAGCGGTCGTAGTAGTAACCGTAATCGTAGAAGTAGTACCGGTAGCGGTATTGGTAGTAGTGGTCGAAATGCTGGAAATCGTAGTCGTAGTAGTGGTAGTAGCAGTAGCAGTATGGGACATAATTAAAAGTTGTAATAACAATAGTAGCAGTCGTGGAAACTAGTACCAATACTAGTACTAGCTCTAGTACTAGTACTACTGG